AGGAAGCATCTCGCGATCATGCAGGGTGCCAGAAATATGTAGGTACAGATTAGAAGTAAATTAGCTGGCACCATTAGCTCGTACAACGGATTAGCATTCCACAGCTTTAGCTCACTCAACAATACCATATGAAAATGATAATTACTACATCCAAAGTAAAAAACACTCTAAATTTCATATTTTTCCTTTCTCTAAGCTAATACTAATAACAGCTAATCTTCAATATCAACTAATTAACACAGAGTTTAAGAAAATGAAGAGCCGAACAATACCTGATAATAATACTTCTTTCCCTTTTTCAGATTATGCATAACACCATCATGTATATACCCAGGATCTCTCCATCCAATACTACTATTTGCTGGTGCATCACACAAATCTTCCTTCTCATACCTCACAACCCGAGTTTTCACAACCCGACCCAATCTACCCCGGGTCAACCCATATCTCACATAACTCTCTTTCCCATCAGGCGTAACAAACATAACCCGCATCTCATCTTCAAAACCCGTCAAAGCCAAATGAACCTGTTCGGGTCCCCTACCCGAAACAAACCCAACCTCCTCCGACACAGCAAGAAGATGCTTCGTCTGCGGCAATGGATTGTGGTCATGATCCACTAGATCCGGTACAATCTCCGATTCCGTCCATCTGAATATCCGAAACTGATACCCAGATCTAAGATTGACTAAAGGGATGGAAATTGAACCCGATCCAGATTCCCATTCGGATGTTGAAGATAGGAAAATATAGCCAATGAAATTATCGTGGAGTGAACTGGGTGGCGAGTAAATTCCTAAGAAATCGAGTTTAGAAGGTGATGGTATACCAGTCCATTTGATTGTAACAAAATCACCAGATTTTGATAAGGTTTTTGGGGTTACAGAAACTGAGATTTGTGAAGAAGATGATGATGAGATCAAGCTGAAAAGGATAAGTAAGGTGAAGGTGACAAAAGGGATCATGTTTATTGGTGCTTTTTGTGGGTTAAATTTCCACCATTTTTATGGTGAAGCTAAGCTATGGCGATTTTCCGGCCAGTTGATTGACGTGTCACTACCAGCTTCCGTTTACTCTTTCCAATTTGTACTTCCCAAGAATTACCTACTTATTAGGTACACAAGTAACGATATTATCCGTATAAATCCATGAAGATTTTAATGAGCATAAATTATTTGTTTCGTTTTTAAATTATTGACAATTTTAAATTTATTCATTTACTTAATTAATTAAATTTTTTATTTATCGTATAATATATCAGTAAGAAGTGTTAAAATTTTGTAGGAGCATTGATATTTTAATATAAGTCGATATAAGTGTTGAAAAATATTACTAAATTTGGCAAGGGGCATATTCACTCATGTCGTAAAGATAGAGGTCCTCATATTTAAATTTAATTAGTAAAGTAAAAGAATATATATAAGAAGGTCAATAATTTAAAAATATAATTAATAATTTATACTTGAATTTAAAGGTATTTTTGTATTTGCAATATTAAATTCAAATCATTTACATCAACAAGTTTACGTATGCTAGATTTTTTGACTCTTTCTACATTTTTTATAACTCAATCAATAAATATTAATTATGAATTTATTTGTATTGTGTTATATAATATGGTTTAGTATTATTTTAATGAATACAATATTTTGATAGATTGTATAATTTTCATGCCAAATTGATGGCGAATGTAAATAATAATATACAATAAAATATTATCATTAAAGAATAATAAGGTAAGATGATGGAATGGATTAAATATAGGATGTAGTTTTGTCTAATTCGTTATAATGACTATTCTGTAACCACATTGTAATGCAATCTGCATGAAACATATGCGAACAAGGCAGTACACGAGTTTCCTTTCCTATCTCATCTAGACATACCAAACACTCATCGTTGCTATATCTTCCATCGGTTCTAGCAACTCTATTGATGATTTACTAGCCATTCTCCGCTAATTCCACCATGGCATTGGTGATCAATCATTATCGACATACCTCCGATATCTGTCTAGTCATGATTTTTTTCAACGATTAGAGTTTGGTATCAGAAAGATGAAGAATCATTTGGGTTGATTCAGATGACTAGATTATTGGGTGACATATACCAAAATTGTTGTATTATTTTGAAATTACAATGAATGGTTAAAACTGGTAAAGAAGAAGTAATTGGGGGAATAATCCATTTTTCTTCTTCAGAAATTGGTTTAACACTAACGATAGAGTGCTTGAAGCAGTCATGGCATACAAATCCTGTTGGCCACATATTGATAGAATATAATATATATTTTTTTAACGTAGACCCTTCCAAGTTTATTTATAATATAATAAAATATAACTACCAAATCGAATATCATTAGGAATAGGATTAGTGAGTATTAGAAAAAAGAATTACACGTTTCCTTAAAAAAATATAAATAGGAAACTCAGGAATATCCATTTTTATTTGGGATAATCGTATAGAATAACAAACTAGTAATATAAAATAAATATAGTAGCTACCGTTTGATTTATTTGTGTTCCATAACAAAGTGTTTTTCAGTCCCTCTCTCTCGCTTTATAAAAGAGAATTATATAAATTGTGTTTTTAATTGAATAAAGCTAGAGAAAATTGTATATACACGTGCAAATACATATATTTTTGTCCTATACACTTATAATTATATAATAGAAGTACTCCCTGCCCAAGTCTTTTTTGTCTTTCTCTCTTTCTCGTTTTGTACAAACTCAAATTGTATATAATTTTCTCTCTTTCTCGTTTTATACAATTCGATTCAATTGTATATTCCCTGCCCTAAGTCTCTTTTTCCTTTCTCTCTATCTCATTTTATACAATTTCAAATTGTATATAATCCTCCTATACACTTATAATTATACAATTCGTTTCTTACACTTTGTTTTATACAATTCTCTGCCCAAGTTTCTTTCTCTTTCTCGTTTTATACGCTTTGTTTTATACAATTTGCTTCAATTGTATATGTATAGCGAATTATACATATATATGTTTGCTATGGAGCGTAATTATGCAAACTTTATTATATAATACAAATATAAATTTTATGTTTATTATACGTGAAAGTTACCCTTTTTATTTCGGGGGAAGTAATTACAAAAAATTAGTGTGTCAAATGAAATTTAATTTAATGCAACTTTAGACTACCTAGGATTGTTTCACAACTCTTCCTAGAGATATAATTGAATTTGTGCATATCCATCAATCTCAAAATAATGTTTGACAAGTTACAACCCCTAATGCTAACTTGGCATTTCGTCTTTTGATCCTCTTGCCTTTGCCCTACTCGTCAATCACCACTTGTGCGTCGACCTCAATAGGGTCCCTATCGTTCACAACGTCTCTGGCAACCAAAACATTGTCATGAGTTTGATGTACCATCCCAGATGGAATCATGTTTGGTACCATTAAACGACTACTAAACCCTGTGTCGCTCTGAAAATATCCATATGTAGCATTTCAGTTGGAATCCTGCCAACCAGCATCTCAAATAACTTAACGATAAACACAAAATAACTACATATCTAATGAAAATACTAAACAAGTAAAAACATATTCCAGTCACGCACGGGCAGTAATTCTATACATGTAAAAACATAAAATTGTGAACATATAAAGTACTTACCTTGCCTTCGAGTGGAAGAAAAACAATTCAATGTCATCAATAGTAGCCTTAATGTGTTGAAATACTTAGGCCATAAATCGTCTTTTATAGGTGATGAAGGTCGAGTTGGGAAAAGACTAGAGTATCAAAAGACGAAATGCTAAGTTAGATGACTATGTTAGAATCAGGGGTTTCTGATCAATAGGAAAGAGTAGGAAAATATTGTTCAGTAAAAATCTGACTCTTATGGTATACCAAAAAACAAACAAGAGGTGAATTAATCATGAAATAATGATAGGGAAACAAATAGTACATCACACAATAATGAACACAACAACTTATTGACGATAAAGAAAATTGAAGACATGGAAACGGGTTGAATGACCTGGTCCAATCGATGTGTATGATGGAGTTAGAGTTACACTGAGTTCAAGTCACTTATATCGACTGGGTTGCTACTTTTTGTACTAGCTAAAGTCGGCTAGAATTAGATTATGAATAGGATTAGATTATTTATAATTGTATTATTATTATAGTATTGTATTAGGACTCTATGTATAGTTAACTTAGTATTCTACAATTCTTCCTATATAAAAAATGTACTCAACATTATCAATACAATTCTTCGTTTCTCTAATCCTAGACGTGAGAATTCTACATGGTATCATATCTTAAACGCTCTTTCACTCTCTCCGAGTATTGATAAAACAAATCACACGTTCAACTACAAAGGCTGCCTCTACCAACATTATGTAGACCTCTTCACTTCACCAACTCATTGTTGTTTGCTTCATTGAACTTAAGCCAACAAACTGCTTCATATGGAGGACACTAATATCCCAATTGATTCGGGTGATGAGACTAACCTATCTCATTACAGAGAATGATGTAACTAAAAGTAGTTGTTTCATTGAGCAATTGCAGGGAAAGTTGTAGAGGTTGAGAAGGATTCAAGAGATAGTGACAACATTAAAATTATTGAGAGGATAACAATGCGTTGTTAAGGAGTTGGATCTCAGGCAAAATCATCTATCTAATTGTTAATTTCTCAACTGCCATAACAAATCATATACGGCAAATCACAACATCATTACCAATATCACCGATATAACTGCCAATCTAGAGACAAATCTGATCAAAGCTGAAATTTACACGCTTAAAACAGAATCATACTTTTATAGGGAAAATGAACTGCTAAACAAATCATATTTATATGAAAGTATATAACTATGGTTAGGACTTTGTTTTAATCAATTAGATACCAACCATTAATTTTAAACTATGACATGTGTCTCCAATCTAAGCTAGAACTTGGGGAAAAGAAGAAAAAATGTGACATGACAAATATTATAGACCATCTACTTTTAGTAAGGACGAGACATAAATAGAAAGGGAAGAAATATTATTGGAAAGTAAATTTATTCTTATTTTAGAAAAATAGTGAAAAAATATTTTATATATCAATGATCATAACCATGTAAGATGTGCGTACTATTATCTAAATGATTGTTAATAGTCTCCAAAACTTGATGGATTTGAACCAATTGAGGATGAGTTTTCTCTCCTGCAATGAGTTCATGAACAACACCATTGATCTCAAGTGAGCTGCATCCTGGTACTTTGCCTATATATTGGCTTTTCATCTTCTTCCTTATCCTTCTAGCATTGTCATGTTTACCTGCTGCAACATAGATATTCGAGAGTAGAACGTATGCTCCGCTATGCCTTTCCAACTGCACAATTCTCTCAGCAGCAGCCTCAGCCAAATCAACAACTCCGTGATTCCCCGAGGCACTTAGTAATGCTCTCCAAGCTATAGCCTCTTCGGAAGGAGCACTCGAATTAGGCATGTTTTGTACTATCTTTCTTGCTTCCTCAAGCAGCCCGGCTCTACTTAGAACGTCGATTATGCATCCATAGTGTTCACCTTTAGGCTCAATATGATACACATTACACATTAGATTCAACAAATTTAAACCTTCGTTCGCCATACCTGCATAACTACAAGCAGTAAACATCGAAAGAAACGTAACGTCATCCGGCCTAATCCTGAATTTTTGCATCTCATTGAACAACTTTAAGGCCTTTAAACCATTCCCATTCACAGCAAATCCTGATATCATAGCATTCCAACAAATGAGATCTCTTATCGGCATTTCATCAAACACCTTCTCTGCTATATCTAAACAACCACATTTCCCATACATATCAATAAGAGCAGTTCCTAACTTAATACTCGATCCCATTTTCAACTTCTTCACATATCTATGAATCCATACCCCAATATCAGCACAACCCAAATGAGCACAAGCAGAAAGTACACTAACAAGAATAGCCTCATCTGGTTCAATTCCACTCATTTGCATTTGTCTAAACAATTGTAACCCTTCTTTGAAGCAATTATTTTGTACATAACAAGATATCATACACCCCCAAACTCCTCTATCCTTCACTAAGCATTCATCAAAAACCAATCTTGCTTCATAAACATCCCCTCTTTTTGCATACCCACAAATCAAAACAGTCCAAGAAACAACACAATTACAAGGAATCTCATAAAAAACAGATCTTGCAGCTTCCACATTGTCAAAACAAGTGTAGAAACCAATTAAACTATTACCCACAAAAGTATCAATCAAGAACCCTAATTTCAAGATTTGCCCATGAACCAATTCACCAAGATGTAAACTTTTCATCCTTCCACAAGCTTTTAAGACATAAGGGAGTGTGTAGTTATCAGGGTACATCCCAATTTTCAACATGTTTCTGTATATCTCTGTGATTCTGTTGACCTCATCATCACCTTTGAGTAAGAATGATTTGATCATTGTATTGAATATGCAAATTGTGGGTTCTTGTATTTGTTCAAAGATTTTAAAGCCATAAACTGGGCTACCAAGATTAGGATGTGAACAGAAAGCTAACAGTCTGCTTAAAGCAAAACTGTTTTCCCCAAGTCCACATGTGATTACTTGTCCATGTGCTTGCTTGAGTTGCTTCATATTTTTGCATTTTTCTAGTAGGAAAAGGCACCTTCTTGTGCATATTAACATTAGCTTTTGCTAAAGTTTCAATTTTTTTTAAAGAAGGGGAAGGCTTTATATTGCAGCAGCATTCACTATAAGTATTTTTTTTTTTAAAAATGAAACCAGGTAACTTACAAAAATCTAACTAGCTTAGCAGCTAGATCTTTAGATACACGCTAATTTGCAATATTATGAATCTTATTGTACGTTGACAAATCTCGCTCGCTTGATCTCAGTTCTCTTCACGAATGAGACAAAGACCTCGTGAAGGTGAAGACCAGCTGGCTTCATTCTTGTAAATGTGGTGGTCTCATTGCGAACACAAAGACAACAGTTTAGTTGTAAACTTCTTCAACCAAAACCCGAAAGGATCCTTGGAAATCGTTCAGATAACAAACAAAATACGTAGATTGAGTCAAATCACTCAAAATGGCTCAGTATTCATCCAAACCGTCCAACAAAGTTATAAATCAGCCCTCGAACCTAATGGAGCTGTCGAAACTCAAATCAGCCCTCGTTAGTCTAGAACATTGAGTTTAATCGAACTTCAAAACTGAAATTCTTATCTGATCACCTCGTAAATTGCACCACCCAACCCCGCAAGTCACAAATGACATATGAAACCACGAAAAGGGTCAAAATAGGAAAAGAAAAAACATGTAACATGAAACTCGAAATGACCATTAGGATCACTACAACTTTATGGAGAAAATACTCACTTAAATTAGTGATAGTAACATCTAAGAAATCATTAAATCACAACTCTGTGTGGGTACGATATCTGACTCACTAATCACTATGTTACTTGGTGATCACGCACACTTGCCTATACGTTTGAGAGCAGCGCACATCTACGTGCCTAGAATCTACTTGTGGAATTACATTGAGTATATTATTTTGTTTCAAGAGCCAATTATAATGTCCAATATTACTTTTCTATATTTGCCTGTAAACCAAAAACCTGTACAAAGTCAAAAAGGAAACTTATTCACAGCCAATTCATGAAAAACAAGTAATCATCTATAAGAAGAAAAGAATACTTACCTTTCATGCAAAGATACTTTAACTTTGCTCCTTCAATCACCTTTTCCCTAACAAAATGAATGTTTCTTTAAATAGGTATTAATCAGATATTCACTGTTGAAATAGTTCCAAATTAAGCATATGAGGTAAGGGAAAAAAAAACATTATGCTATTTTTCTTCTTCTATGTTTTCTGCCTTTTAAACTACCTATAATCTTCGAGAATATAATAGGTAGGAGTGTGGTGTCTTGACGTACGTGCATATATACTAGTAGTCATAGTATTACTATTCTAATTTTTTGTCCCTCAGTTTCTGTTACTATCGATTATTTCTTGTACTTCGAGTATCGGTTAAATCCTTTCGTTTAATTCCCCTTACAATTTCTTTTAGGGTGAGTTTCTCTGTTGCAGGGGAAGAAAATGAACAGTAGAGACAGAGGAATACCAGCCCAGAGAACACAAATGTCCAAAGGTGGTATAAGCTTTTCACAAAACATATTTTTATAACCGAGAAATTTCCGAGAGCTAGTGGGACACGATTCAAAACTCGATGAATAATCATGCGAGACGTGTTCCCACAGGCTCTTCAGAAAGTATAGTGACTTTTTTGTATATTCTTTTTCTCTCTGGCAGAGACGAAAAGAACCGTTAGCTGGTTAGAAAGACAGTTTACGACAAAAGCCAGTCGAGATTATGATTCCAGTAATAGTGTTGATTACCCAACTGCAGTAGCTGTAGCTGCATTTGTTGTAAAATCAATTGAAGACAAGAGTAACAAGGACCAAACAAAGACAAACATTGGAGCTGATAAACCTTTAAGCAATATTAAGAGTAAAGCAAATGATATAATTGAGAGACCTGAAAAGTCCACAGGTCAGGCCGACCTCTCTATAACAATCATCCTATATAATAACATTTCACTATACGTAGAAGGTTTTCTTTTAGTATATTATATGTTTTCTATAACAGTATTTCGCTATAGCAACTGAACATTTAGCAGCAATTGAGTTAATGTCATTGCATTCAGAGTCGTTAAAGCCTTTAGCCGCATTTATATGTTGTAGTGTTTACTCATTTCCTCCATATTTATAATCAGCTGTGAAAGCTGCAAAATCGAGTTCAAAAGTTGCAGACAAAAATGTTGTAATACGAACAGCTACGTTGAATCAAGAACCACTCAACTCCACGCGATCCCTTAAGCAGAGTGCAACCTTTGAGGATAACAGAAAGAACTCCACATTTAAGAACATCGACATTGCATCTGCCAAAACGCCAATTAGACTATCGATGTCTCAAAAAGAGATGACGAAAGGAACAACTACTACGACAAATCATGTAGTTGTAAATTCTAAAGCAAATATTTGGGAGAATGAAGAGATGAAGAAGATCAAAGAACGGTACGAAGTTGTACTGAATTTTTGTATGATTGAAATTGGAAAACACAAATTGTTGTCATCTAACTACAAAGAGATTTTCAGGTATGAGAAGCAACATTATGTGATACTTGATTGGGAGACTAAGAAGAAGAAAAAGTCGAAACGACACTTGGAGCAAATTGAGGTTGATTCTAATTTCTCTTTTTTAATCTGATAACGAAAACAAGTCTCTCTACCCTCCTCAAACTCCATTTTATGAGATTTCACTGAATTTGTTATTCGTTTGCTTAGTACATAACAAATGAAATTACAGGCAAAATTAGATAGACGAAGGGCGATGACAAAGCAAAGTTTCTACAACGATATTGAAAGGATCGAAAAGATAGCAGGAGGAGCCAAAGCAAAAGCAGAACAAAATCAAGAAAAAGAAGAGCATAAGGTGAAGGAGAGAGCAAATAAAATCAGATCAACTGGGAAAATGCCAGCAACATGTTTGTGCTTTTAAGCTAAGATCGATTACACGAAAGAACGTAAATATTGTACAAACAACATCAACATTTGGAAGATCTTTCAAACTTGTATGGAAGCATAAGTCCTAGAGAATAAACGTTTATCGCAACAGAATGTAAAAACAAACTAAATATAGTTTTCGATTGTTGAAGCATGACATTTATCGTCTCATCTTAAATTTGAAGTTGTTAATTAGAACACACTATTTACTTACTTAATTATGTCTTCGACACTTGATATACTGGATATTCCAAATTTCACCTGTGAATGAAATTACAGGTTAATTAATGAATTATAATATTTTTTACGATCTAATTACAAACAAGCAAAAGTACTCCCAAAATATAGAGTATATTGTGTAATATACATACCAAATGAAATCTCTTCAAATCTAGCATGGAAGCCATCAAACAAATAAATATATGTGTTGTCTATATTATAATTACACGTAGCATGACAGATAAGACACAAAATTATTAGATAAAATAATACATTGAGCAAATATATCTATTTTTATTCGATTTTATACAATTTTAATACCGAATCAAAACAAGATTAGACGAAGGTTCTCTAAAACAAATTTATTTTCATTAATTGGCTTAACACAAGTGGCAATGAAGCCTAGCCACACAAAATACAAATCACATTTATCCAACATAAAAATAGAATTTTCAGCGCAAAATTAAACAGTTCAATGCTTCTTCAAAAAATCTCCGGCCATCTTCAGATAATCTCCTTTTTTACCAGATTCCGACGACTGACTCCCATCGGAATCTTTCTTCAAAAGTCCTTCCGCCATTTTAATATACTCGCCATATCCACTTCCTGATTTTTCATGTTTTCCTCCACTTGTATGCCCCGATGACTGCGTATGTGCAGTCGCCGCGGCGGTAGCGGTGGTTGTTGAATGATGAGAAGTTTCGTATTTATGGAGATAAGTCTCTGCTTTTCCGACGAATTTCCCGATCCCTGTCTCTTCTAGTTTACCGTACTGTGAAGCGGCGTTGAGGAGGTCAGCGGCAGCTCCGGCGAGCTCCGATTTCTCAAATTGTTTTGGATCGTGATGGAGTTTTGCTTTGGCGGCGTCAGCTACTAGCTTGGCGCTGGACATCAGCTCAGATTTAGATGGCTTCGGGTGGCTGTTGGGCTTATGGGTCGATGAATGACCCGATCCGGATGTGCTCTTGGCTCGTGTTGGATCCATAGAATGAACTAGTATCTTTCGATTAATAAAATAATTGAAGTGCGAACGAATTGATTATATATATGAGGAAATTTGTTGGTTATTGATGAATGAACAATGGTATCGCTAATGTAAATATTTATAAAGAGGTGATTTTTATAGGTATTAAATTGTTTAAGCGAACAAAAGTGTTAATATTATTATAATTTTGCAATTTTTGGTTGTTGTACAAGTCAACACGTTATGGTGTAACAGGCTTAAACGAGTAGACAACTCATGTGTGTTATCCGTGTACCAAAATCAGAGGAAACAAATTATATTTTTACCAATTTCTTCTTAGTTGTAATAGTAAGACAACGGGTGCACTATCAACGATTAATACATATTAATTAAAGAATAAGTTACTTATTATTCGTGTAATAATTTTATCAAACATAAAGTATAAATATGATTTAAACTTATTAGATAAAATTTGCTTTGTAGAGTGATGATTTTGAACTTTACTTTGCATTATGAGATCGCAAGTTCTAAACTATCTATTTTCTTATAAGTTGATTCAGATGAATTCGTAATGAAATATCTTAGCTGTAATATCTTGTATCAAATAATCATATAAGAGAGTGTCATGAGTGACCTTCTATCGAAATTTATCCTCTCACCTCTACAATGTCCACGTGCATAAATGTTATATTTTTGTTAATATAATATTTCAGCACATGATTCAATTTTTATTATAGATCATAATCTACTCGGAATTAATACATGAAAATAAGGAAGGGAAAGAAAAATGATTCTGAAACCTAAATAATGAAGAAGAAAAAATATAATCGATTAAATTAAAATATCAAAATAAAATTAATATTTTCTACGTATATCACACTAGTTTAATAGTCTAGCTATACGAGATAAGGGTAACAACTCCCATAAAAATTTGTTAATATACGAGTGTGACTATTAAGATAATTAACTCTGTTTTGCTCCTTACCACAGTCTAAAACCCAAAATTTCAGTCAAAAGGGATACAAAATCTCGATACACTTTCTGTTCAAGAAGATAATCTATGTTTTGGCGAGCTCATCACATCTCCATCTTCTTCCTCCAGCAAAATTCATCCAAAAAGTTTCTGTCTTTGCCTTGCTTCTTGCTGTATTCTTGAAACCCCACATTGATTCTGCAGGTACCTTCTTAGATTTTTTTTTTTTTAGTTTATATGAATATTTATGTGTTTCTGGGGAACCCCTTTGTGTATATATTTGTGGGTCTTTCCTCTTTTTCCCTGGGAATTAATTAATCTTTGATTATGAACCATTGGAAGAAATCTTGAATTGGGGTCCTTAAGTAGTACATGCTTCATTTTGGTACTAACTTTTGTGTAATTGTCAATTTTAGACTTCTCGATAGAAACTTATATGTGGTTGATTGATTTAGATTGATGATTGTTAAGGTTTTAAGATAGAGTTACAATCATGGGGTTGTTGAGTTTTGACTGATAATGATATACTCTCTTTGTCCCAATTTATGTTACTGCTATCTTTGGCACATACCAAAAATGCTTCTTTTATGCCATTATCTTCCTGCTAAACCAACTAATTCGATCTAACCCGGTGGACTTAAAGCAAAAAATGTGTTTTTTCAGAATAAGCTTATCATGTTTAAATAGTTTCAACCTATGCTAAGATAAGATTTGAAGAGCAGATTAGCCGTAAGCAGATGACTAATTCTCTCTGTAAACCACGGATTCAAGGTCTAGTTGAATTACGGCTATTCTCACTAGTCTTTATTTCCCTTCTCATCTAGCTTGAGATTCCCTTCTCACTGGGCCGACGGCTTCTCGAAGAATGTTTGATATTACCATTTGTTTTGTGTGCAATATTGGCAACTTCCCTGAATTCAGATCCATTGAAGCATTCAAAATTTAAACTTTGATACCGTGGTTTCTCCATTAAACTAGCCTGTCGACTTTTACTTTTAACGTTTTCTTCTATTATGATATTTAAGTCAAATTAACTTCTAAAGCTTTGTCTAGTCATATAAATACGGAACGGACAGCTGTGCAATGTGGCATAGCAAGTCTTTTGTGATTGAACATCAGTTAAAACTTAAAATCAGTGTTATTAAAACTCATATAGCTCAATTCAGCTAATGATGTTCAAAGTGATCTCTCAGCAAGAAGCAGTCGGTTCTTTGATCTCAACTTTTTCAAGTTTGAGTAATATGAACATTATTGTATTGAATGTTAAAATTATTAATTTTAATTGAAATTTGACTGTTAGAGTACTGAGTTTATATATGTTCAAAGTTTCCTTAAATTGTGCACTTCATTTTAAAGCAAAGTGCGATTCACTTTTCACATTCCACTCAAGCTCCATGGACATTTTGCTTCTTTGTGCTTTATGCTTCTACAAGTACCGAATTAAATAGAGGAGCTATTTGGATGTAAAAATTCTATTTTTCTCGAAATACTACTGCTCTCAGGGATTACTAGTCTGCCACTCATGGTTTGGCATCCTTATATTCTAATACCAAATATTTTGCTCTTTTCCCAGGGAGATTTGAGTTGTTCAAGTATAATCCATGTGGGGCTATTAGATATCAGTATGAGTTTGACTTTTTCAATAATCAAATAAAGGAGAATGGCAGGTCTTTTTTCGAACAATTAGAAGAGAGATTCAAAAAAGTGTAGCACAATATGTATCGCCCTGTGCCTATTACTACCCGAGGTGGGGAACCTACAGATAGTGGAGATCCTGTGGTGACGTTGGACCAAGTTCCACGTTGGAGTAATGCGGAATTTAGGTATGCACATGAGAATGAAGATCCTACTAATTCATGCTTTCCGGACCCCTTGGCATCTGCTTCTGGGTCTGAATTTAATGGTAGTGGCATAGTTTCCAAGTTTCCCATGGATCATGAGATTAACTCCAAGATATACTTGTGGAGAGGCGACCCCTGGAATCTCGAGGTAGATGCTGTTGTTAACTCTACTAATGAGGTAAGAGGTGACTATTCATGTAGCAGTATTTGTTTTGCATGTCCGTCATAAATGTGAGCATCTTTTTGTCGTTTATTATTGAACATCTAGGTTTGCCTGCAATGTTTCATGTGAGGTGGCAACATAAAGGCGAACTTGTAGCCAACAAATTAGCTACACTTCCATTTTATTTTACTTTTTTGAAAAGGTTTTCAGTCTTTGAAGCCAACAGATTATCTCATCTGTGTATTCTCTGATTTAAGTGAACTTCGACTAACTTTATTAAGCAAGGGGATGACTGCAATTGTCGCTTATTCTTGAACTGAGACTCAATGTCCAAAACATAATCTTAAATTTTCTTTTCTTTTCTCTGAAAGAATGAGGTAGGTAGGTGGGTTAGCATAAAAGTTGATAAGCGTGAAAATGTTGATTTTGGTACCAAAGGCATGAAGAACAAGTTTAGAACTGTCTAGAAATTGAAACATGTCTTTTTTATTTTGTCCGGTAAATGTCTTGTTCACTTTCCTGAATCATTATGTAGAGCAACAATGTGATGGGAGATATAAGATATGGTGTGACCTATTTTTATATTTTATGTGGACATTTATATTGTGTATCATTTATTGATCTATACGCCTCAACATGAGATTTATACCTGTTTTTTGGTGGTCAAAAGAACTTAGACGAAGCTCACAGCAGCCCAGGATTGCATGCTTCAGCTGGACCTGGTCTTGCAGAAGAGTGTGCCACATTGGTAGGTTCTTTCGTGCATGAATATGTGTTTAGGAATTAATTTTGATTTCTTTTTCTCTGTGCTGGTTTGCAAATAGAAGTTAGAGTATGACTTGTGCGAACTGTTGAAGTTCCAGTTTGTCCATTCCTTCTTCTAACTTAAGAAAGTTATCTCCCACTTTTTAAAATTTGTTCTGTTCTATTCAACTAGTGACAGTGATGTTGACAGACTAATATATGGTTTACTTTTCCTTCATAGGGAGGCTGCCGGACAGGAATGGCAAAAGTTACAAATGCTTATGATCTTCCTGCTAGGTGAGTATACTGGATTGTTTTTCTCAGAACTTTTGCAACAAGCTTTTCCATAATTTTCATATTTCTGCTTGCACTAGAAGTTAATCAATGTACTACAGTGTTCTCACTTGTAATAAATACCCATCCTAAGTATTCTCTTTTGTTTTTCTTTGTTAGATCTGTAACCTAATTCTTCTATTTGTTGATGTGAAATATATTTCTCTTTAAGTTCAATTAAGGAAATCGAGCCGTTTTCTTAGATATCCATTTTTTCAGTATTAAAAGAGAGAAAAAGGGAGAACACTGTGAACCCAACTAAGCTGGCTGTACATAAAAGGAGCATGTACTCTGAGAATATGCTTCTCAGATGGAGCTTGGAGATTCTCTATTGGATAGTTACTACCTACTGCTCTCGTTGAACATGTAAAGAGATCCATAATTGTATGTTCAATGGAGTTGTCTTAGAACAATAGTAAGTGGGTTGGTTAGGAAAGTCCCATGTCCCAGCTAAGTTGCACTAATATTTGAGATATTCTCAAGAAATTTCAGTATGAACAAACAGTTTGACTCGTTTGGATTTTCTGACATAAGAATCCAGTATAGTAGTAGTTTAATAAATTCAGTTTTATCTTTAACTGTACTTTCGAAGTGCTTATCTATTCATTGAAATCATTAGGCCGCTATTACTGCCTATTTCAATAGTCAATGCCGGTCCACTATATCTTGCTTTAATTTTTCACACCTCAACTATTGAAGCAATCTTGTCCCTTAACTTTGCTATAAGAACATGGTGATTCACACATACGTACTCAACCAAAAATAAAGGAAGAGCAACTTCACTTAATGTTTTAATTCCAAGATCCGATCATGGTTGTTTAGGTTAGCTATATTCTTGTATCACCGTTTAAACTGCTATGGTCTGTTAAAGTTAAAAGCAAGAAACATTAAGTGTTGAACTCTGTTTTACATTATCATTTATCACGATACTAGCATTAGTAGACGTTGAGTAGCATTTTCTAACTATTGACCCCACGTTCATTTTATTCTTGCATTGTGCAGGAGGGTCATACATACTGTTGGTCCCAAGTATGCTGTAAAATACCATATTGCTGCAGAGAATGCGCTAAGCCATTGCTATCGCTCTTGCTTTGAGCTTCTTATAGAAAATGGGCTGAAGAGGTTGTCTTATTGTTGTAGTTTCAACTGTTACATTTTAGTTCCCTGAGGTTGATTATTGAAGGAAAAGAAAAATAGAAGCAAAAATATAAAAGACCAATCTTGGCCCTAGGACTTTGGTCTAGTAGTAAGAGCACAACATGTGATGTGAGCTTGGGCTCTGCCACAGATAAGAGGTCCGGGAATTAATTGGAGAGGATAAAGGAGTGGACTCATTAATCACTGATCTATAGCCCTTGGATATTTTTTGTATAAAAAGAAACTGATCTTGAGTCTTATAAGTGTTTAAATATTTGGAAGTTGATGTAACCTCGTTGTATCATGTGGATGCAGCATTGCTATGGACTGTATATATACAGAAGCGAAAAGTTACCCACGAGAACCAGCTGCTCATGTGGCAATAAGTGAGATATCTTTGTTGGCTATTTTCATAATTTCTAATGTTTCATAATTGATGTTCAAGTTGCAGGTATACATTACTCTGTTTTCTCTGTTGCATTAATGCTATTGTATCTCCATTATAAATATGTTTTTAACGTGTATTCCAATGCTTTAGCTTCCAATAGTTTGTTCCACGTTTTCATGATGATATCTTTATTTCACTTTGATTAGGAACTGTAAGGCGGTTCATTGAGAAACAGAAAGATAAAGTAGAGGCAATTGTTTTCTGTACTACTACATCACAAGATACGGAGATTTATAAAAGGTATTCTTAGTACATCAATTTTCTTGTAGATAGCAGAGGAAGGAATTCCTTCAGTTCCTATTTCTTTGAGAAGCCCAACCATCCATCTTTCGAGTGGTATTAATACTCTGCAGATTGCTTCCACTCTATTTTCCTCGGGATAAGCATGAGGAGGAAGTTGCCCTTCTAAAACTTCCTGCAGATGTTGGGGATGAAAATGGGGAGACAACTATAGATGAGCGTAAAATTAGGATAAAACCGTTACCAAATGTCAAAAAGTCCAATCCAAGGATTTCCCAGGCCTCTGTTGATTTGTCTGTCAGTAATGTTGGTTTGACCAGGTTAGTGGCTAATTTTGCATCTACACTTGTGGATTATGCTTGGTATGCTGTTATTTCTATTTGTTCATTATTAAAATGATAAATAAAATAACCCAAACTATTACAATTTTAATATTAGCCGTATCCCATCAGAACTGACGCACTGTCAAGCAATTATCCTTGTAATTAGAGTTCAACATCACTTGCGCTGGTAAATTTCAAAAACCAATGCCATTAATACAGGAATCTTCTTGTTACTTCAACAGTGGAATATTACTTGGATGAACATGTTCATGTTTTGATGGATTCTGTCTTCTTCTTTCTACGTTCTAGTCTTATTTTTGAAGGATATGCCTTTATTTTTTTTTATCATCAAGACTTAATGAAATGATTTTTCTGAAGTAGGAGTTCATCCTATTTGGATGCTTTTCTGGATCCTGCTTTTATGTCCCTGATCAAGGACCCAGATCAGCGACGGAAAGAACAATGGGAAAAAACTGCCCAAGCTCAAACTAGCTGGAACTTCTTTAAAATGTTTGGATATGGTGACGTCGCAGGACCTCCTTTGTCAGCTGCAGAAGAATACTCGCTTCATTCTAGATATATTGCAAAAGCAAATACTCTGAATTTTTCAGAAATTGCAGAAATGAAAATTGTGTAAGCACCTTGCTGTATAGTATATGTCTCTGCAGACTTTAGTTATTAGTCCATGGTACCTAAAATACATGAAATATCTGTCTAGTTGTCCAAATATGTACTTGTTTGGGTACAAAGTGGTTTTATTGATTTTTCATCTTACGAACAACTAGTTAAGTCTCGTTGACATAGTTAGGATCAAGCTCAGATGAACTTGTGTTATATTGCTCAACTACCATGTCAGAATTGACTTTGTTTCAGCTACCGAGGAGGGGTTGACAGTGAAGGCCGTCCAGTAATGGTTGTTGTGGGGGCACATTTCCTGCTAAGATGTCTTGATCTGGAGAGATTTATTATCCATGTTGTAAAGGTACGTGATACTTGCTTGCTTTCCCTCCGCCGCCAAAAATATAGGTTAGATATGATCTATTGTTCATATCTATTGAGCTGTTCAATAATTTGTCATCTTTGATATAACTGCACAAATTTTCTGTAAAAGATTACATTATATGTCAATTTGCAGGAATTTGAACCATTGATACAGAAACCTTACTCTATTGTGTACTTCCATTCTGCTGCAACTCTACAGATGTGAGTATCATCCTTTCTCACATTGGCCTGTCCCCCTTGCTCAGTACGATGAATAAATTTCTTATTTTACTTTTTTGTTTATCTGTTTTATGGACTTTTCCAATTAATAAAAGTTAAAGGTTAAACATTGGATGTGTATTTTGTTCTTTTCTTGGGTAATATTATATAATATATGCTTTTTCCTACCTTACAGTTCTATTTTGTTTTGTGATGTTAATAGATATTATTTTGTTGTACCAAAACAGGCAACCAGATCTAGGATTAATGAAGAGGATACAACAAATTCTTGGTCGCAAGCACCGGCACAACCTTCATGTATGCAATGCTTCTCCTCTGTTCCCCTTGTGCCATGGTTCCCCAATGTTTTTACTTGCTGTTATACAAGTAGTTGACTTTCTGTATTCTAAATCTCCTTTTTCTCTGGGCAGGCGATATATGTTCTTCACCCTACTTTTGGACTGAAGAGTGCAGTTTTTGGTTTACAACTCTGTGTGGATAATGTGGTACTTACGGTCCTATTATCCTGCTCTCTGTCTTCTCTCTAATGTCATTCTTGCATTACAATGTGGATTTCATTCTTTTTTCTGAAGACTTGTTTCCTTTTACACTAATTCTCAGGTATGGAAGAAAATAGTATATGTAGATCGTCTTCTGCAATTATTCCGCTATGTTCCTCGTGAGCAGCTGACTATTCCAGATTTTGTTTTCCAGTTAAGTAATCATTCATTTTTCTGATCATAATTATGAATTTCAAGTGTGAAAACAGCAGAAGTTTTACACATTGTCAGTAGCTCCATCGAGAAAGGTGTGATAATTGATATCTAATTTGCAAAAATAGCATCTTAAAGCTCAGAAATAGATATTCAGACTCCTACAAGGGAAATACCGCACTTAGTTTCCCTGTTTACTTAAAATTTTATTCATAAAACTTGACCCTGCCTAGGGAAGTTGTGATCAGGAATCCTAGAAAAGATCGAGAGTCCCTCCGTAGTCTGTTCATGACAAATGAGATCTTCAGTGTGGGAGGCTGGAGCAGCTCAAATAAAGAACAGTCTGGTTCTTGTCATAATTTATCTCTCTGAATGTCATGCAGTTCTTTAAGTGTAGAGCTGTCGTTTCCTGTAATATAAAGAACAGAATCGAGTAGATTAAATGGACTGATAATCATGTTTGTGTTGCAGGCATGATTTGGAAGTAAATGGAGGGAAGGGCCTAATTGTGGATCCTAGAACCAAGTATGTTTATCAGAGACCATAGTCTCAAAACTTCATCCGATAAAAGAAGAAAATAGACGCTGTAGTAAGATTGTGGAATTTAAATTTGTTTGTACAGAGGCTGTAATTGTTTTGTGCAATATTAGCAGTGTATTTAGCTAACTTTGTCTGTAATTTGATTTATTTATGCAACCATATGTCCAGTCCTGTGCTAGCTAATGGCAATAAATTTCTTTGTTTCTGCAACATTTTCCCTTCTAGATATGTCATTTTAGTCCTAAATGAAGACTTGACCTGCCTCTTATTTTAAGTTAAAAGTCATAAGCAGTTTCTTAGAGTTTTTGTCCGTGTTTTTCAGTTAGACACCTTGGACTTTCAGTAGGAGCAAAACATGCATTTTTAATGTTTAAGCACATAATTAATATGTTAAAAAGACATTATATGTAGTTGCCAATATCGAATTTAGAAGTTGCAGATTCTGAATGCAGGAAGTCAATTTTAATATTGTATTTAACTCTATTAAACTAGCTTTTTGGTGCACATACAAATTCCATTTAGATTATTAATGAAAATAATTTATGATTTTTAATTGCCAGAAAATGACTTATTTTCCTTTTACCAAATACAACCTTAAGCTGCTTCCATTGTGGTAAAACAACAAAAAAGATTCCATAATACTTCCATTGACATAAATTTTTATGATTCTTTTCTAAATAAATCCAAAAGATGCATTTGGGAGAACTGATGATCCAGAAGACATTATGCTGAATACTGAACCAATAACCCAATGGACATCATATCATGATGGTGTCTCAAATTATGTGCTACCAAAACATGTACAAGGAAACCCATAGCTAACAACTTCACACCTGTAATTCATAAACAAAGTCCCTAATGTGTTGAAATAATCATGAAGGTGATGAATTAAAGCCTCATTCACATAGTTCTAGTAAATGGGACAGCAGGAGGATGATCTGCAGGGCATCTTTGCCTCCTCGGACGTCTAGTTGTCTTGCCCCCCCACCCTGTAAGGCTTTTGTCCTCCAAACTGGATACAATGTTACTCAAATTCTGCTTTAGAGGAGGGCTTAATCGGGTTGACACAGTGACAGGGGTGGTCTCAATCACCATCCTCCGCCTTCCCCTCGTACCTCCATTCCTTCTCTTCGATCCTGAGTTCCAAGAATGACCTGTAGCTCTCATCAACTCTCCGAAGGTCTGAATGTCTTCAGTCACTTCATGCCTTGACAGGGAAACTAGTCCGGGAAGGATATCCCTTTGAAAGTCCCTCCGCTGTCTTCCCCACCTTCCTTGTCCTCTTCTGGTTCGATTTGTTAGTGAAGTGGCTCCTGCATCTTCCACTGGTTGGACTTCAGGAACAAAAGGCTTGGGCAGGTAGTCTTGTTCCTTAGTCTCTTCTAGCTGCAATGTCATTGCCTCAAAGTAATCCATCTCCAAGTTAGTAGTAGGTCGCGCAACAATCATAGCGTCCTCGACTATTATTTCTTTAGACTTGCTCTCAAGTTCACTCTCAAAAGAAATGACTATGCCAACAAACCAACCTAGGGATCCCAGAGGATCATCAGATGGATCACCGGAGATGGTGTCTATTTGACTGGATGATGAAATGGCAACTATAGCTTCCGCTGCGACCCTGACAACTTCATCCTGTATTTCCTCAGGTTTGTGTTCAGGCAACTGCAAAGATGCTTCATTTTGTTTGCCATTTTCTTTAGACAAATTGTCTAGCTCAGTTTCCAGAACAGGAGGAGCTTCCAAATCTATCTCGACGACAGTTCTCACATTGACATTATCGCTTTCGACAAAGAATGAATCATCATCTTCAGTAATACATGAGTTCAAATCGAAGGGATTTCTGATAATGGTAGCTTTTGTTTCCATTGCTGTCTCAGCAACAACTGCTTCCATGACAACCTGTTTCTCGGGCTCAACCATAGAAAGGTCACAAGCTATGTTAATGTCAATCACTATTCTCCTCTCTTTGTGTCTGCTGTTCTCTTCTATGGGTGAGGAACAAAGAGTAGCAGACGTGGAAACAAATGAAGATGACTCATTTTTGGAAGCACATGAAATTTCAGGAATTGGAGCCCCCAGAATTTTCCTGACACTTCGGGTTTCCCCCAACTCTTTTGTGGCCTTCATGTTAAGATCTATCATAGCTGATGCAATATTCTGCGCATTGCAGACATCGCTGAAACTTTTCAACGGACCATTTCCACAGATGGGTGAGTTTGTGTAGGCTTCAACCATTCCATTCGTGGTCTTTGTACTCTCATTTTTGAAACTTGGTTTAGCTTTAAGCCACGGCAACACTGGTTTACAGTCTTGAGGCTCTCGTTTTTCATCAACCAACTCAAGATCTCTGCTGGCAAGTTCCTCATTTATTGAATCCTTTGATAGTACATTCAAATCAAAACCTTTTTCTGATGTCAAGTCCATATTATAGGAGGTAATAGGAGATTTCTCACATCCATTGTTAAAGGAGCGGTCAGATGTCAAATTGTCACTCTTGTTTTGCTTCTCAGAGTCAAAAGCAACAGAGAACCAACGGGGTGATTCTTTGGGCCCTGATGAGGACCCATGGTCAAACCCATTCCTGATGGAGAAATTAGTAGCCTCACCTAAATTTGATTTAGAACTGCCATCAATACGCCACTTGTCTCCAAATATATCATGGTATTGAGGTGATTTCGGACTCTTACCTACCATGGCACATGAGTTCAATGACGGGTTTGTATGTCCTGATGATAGCCGTGCAACAAAGCCACTTGGTTTACCCCAAGAAGAGAGTGTGTGCGACCATGAATCGGTAAACTCTGAGGAATTAGCGAATGGATATGGACTAGCTGTCCCAGAAGTGATAAATGGTCTCCCATACGTATATTCGGACTTCTCATGATTTACGTGGAAGGTTTCTGGACCATGCCCCACTCTCTCTTTCCATTGGTCATCCTTGAAATACTGAGGTGATTGAACCCCGGGACGTTGAAAGGCTTTATCAAGCATTACTTGTGCCAGTTGGCGTGGTGTAGGGAACTTGTTGTGTGAAAAATTATGAGGTGCTGGAGTCAACCTACCTTCAACTTTACCTGCAAAATAGCAAAAGTAAGGAAACACCTTGCATAACATCATGTAAATCCATTAAAGAAGGAAATTTTAATGTGGAAGCAACCAAGTCAAGATAGGTGCAGACAACGAAAACTCTGGCAGTTGTATATACCACAGGTATTATTTACCTGTTTCATATGTGGAAGGGAACCAGTCCCTCTCTTTGCCTTTACTAAGGCTTGTATGATGGGAGTTCCGTGTGGTTTCTCTAGGCAAAGCCACAAATGCTGGATTTGAGTTAGCGGAAGCGTTTAGGCTTCTCGTCTCCTTATGACTATTACCATATCCAAGAAAATCAACAGGCAATGAGATTGCTTCTTCAGGCTGAGCTGGTTCATTGAGATCAGCCAACCTGACTGAGCTTCTGAAACACGAATGGGATGCTGAAGCATCTTTTTTATCACTCTTTGTACCAGCACCAGGGAATAATCTTGTACAATTCTCTTGGGAAACTTTATTATTTCCATTAGCACGGGAACTTGGATAGAACGATCCTTCATCATCTCGCAACTGCTCAACTTCATCAGTATCTATGTACTCATCAGCTGGAAGTTGAAGATCGAACATCTTCTTCCGTAATTTTGAGGGCCTAGCATCCAAAGATTCACAGATCTTTGAAGAGCAACCATTTTGCATTTGACCGTGACCAGACTGTACATCATTCGCTTTTGAAGAACTGAATGGGGAATTTACAATTTCAGTACCAGACATAGATGGTCTAGCATAACTTGAATTTGCAAAGGGGAAGCCGTTGCTATGGCCTTTCCAAGCATCTTTAGGTAGTAAATGGGATCCAAGAATGTTTGATGAAGATGATGGCTCCATTGATGTCCAAGGTCTATGCAATTCCGTCCTTTTAATGTCATACATCATGTCCCTCTGAGTTCTGTAAAGGCGATGAAGTTCAAATACCTAGGAACAAAGATTTACATAGGTAAACATTTTGCAGCAAGCTGGAAAATGCCAGAGGACAAGTATAAAACTAAATATAGAACTTATAACTTAACAGAAAAAAGAATGTTGACCAGTAGAGATAGAATTACCTGATTCTTGAATGTTTCCTCGTGTTCGAGTATTTTCTGCTTTAGAACATCCTTATCATATCCAGGATCTGAATCTGTCGTATTCCTTGGCATGAAACCATTACAGTATTGAGCGTTTGTGAAGATTTTCTCTCCAAAATGCAGGGGCCATCTATTGTTTAAATCCTCGCTAAGGTAGCTCATGGAGTAATAAGCTGGTACTTAGCCTTTACAATTGGCTTGTGCTACCATTCTGCTGACAGTAGGAACTAATCATATAAATAAAACCGAACAGAGTAAGGAATTATGCAAAATAACCATTATTAATAATTAAAGAGCGCAACACATCCGATATTCAGCCTGTTTTATGGACCAGTACATCCTTCAAACGTTTAACAAGCTGAATAGCATCAGTATTAGCAATCAGCATTACATGGCAGGTATAGAGAACTGACGGGAAGTGTAAGACAGCATATGTTAATTGGCCGATGCAATATTTATGTTGCCCCAATATCATGACATCATTGGCACAATGCCACTCAAATCTCACATAGTTTAGGTGCCAACCTCTGCATATCAAATTTGCATTTTGAACATATTGTCCTCTCTCTGAAGATTTTACTTTATTTCTGTCAGAACATAGAAGAAGCAATTTGTATTCTTCTTCAAGTGTATGACTAACTTCTCACTTTATATTAGTCTTCCCCGTGAAGCTTTCTCAAGACTCATATGAGTGATTTTGGAGATGATGAATCGAGGATGCCAGGTAAGAACACACAAGATAATATCAATGGAGATTTTAAGATGTTCTTTCAATCGTTCAACACTTTTTGTGACTCCTTAATCTCTTCACTTGATTGTAATCATTTAGACGTGGAAACATGGGAAGATAATAGTGTGTGTACCAAGTAAACTTGCACCAGATTGTTCTGACACCAACCAAATGAGGAAAAAAGGAGCACTCTTCCCTATAATGACAAGCTAAGGTAAACACCTAATTGAGTATACTGTTTATGATCACTCTTCCTATAGCTTTAAGTCAACACACTCTTTTTGAGTCATCCCTTGATATAGCACAGGGTTACAGGCAACCAACTCAATAGTCCAGCATACTTCATTGGAATCACCAAGAATAGAAGAGGAAACAAGCAAGACAGTGACAGAAAACAATCAATATCGCAGCTAATCTAGACATTTTTTTATAACCGGGTCCGGACCAGCTTTCGCACACCTCAACTAATTCCACGAATACTTGACACCTCCCACCAGCACTAGGAACCACGTAACTATGTCCACCAAGTTGGGACAAATGAGAAAAAACCACGTAGTTTTTTTTGCCTCTGCTAGAATTTGAACATGAGACCTCATGGTCCTCAACCCGTGTCACTGACCCCCTAGGCCACACCCTTGGGTGCCAATCTAGACATTTTCCTATCAGCAACACTTAAAACCAAAACTCCTCAATTATCAGTGTATCATAATCTAGTAATGAAGATAGGTAATTTTGCATCAGTAAATGTATTTGAAGGTCACAAAAAAACAGTCTAATAATCACAAAAACAAGCCAATGCAAGCACTTCTGCTAATGAAACATCAACATTAACTGATGCAATTCAAATCCTTCAACCAAAACTATCAAACTAGAAGGCATTTCATTATTAATGCCCCATTAATTTAGACTAAGAAACCAACTTCCATCAGTTAATGAAGCTAGAAAAGATCTCAATCTTTATTTTTATTTTTATTTTTAAAAAAGATCACTTGACAAATCCCAAACCATAGCCAAATTAGTAAATAAGGCAACATAGTAAAAACTAGAAAACAAAAACATTAACTTCAGAACCCCACAACTGTTATTACAGATAGTATAAAAAACTTGAATAAATTAACACAACAATAATTAATTGAATATTAAAACAAATCAAATATAGAAAGAATTGATATGGTCCTAGGTCTTAAAAGTAAAAGAATTATAAATCTACAAAATGTAAAGCTTTTACCTCAGACCCCCATCTCCTCAAGAACCCCTTTCTTGAAAAAATTACATCTTTTCAAGAATCATGGAGAATTAGCCACACACATACACAAAAAAAAAGAAGTAAATTTAATATTAAATGTAATACAAAGATGGTTATTTTGGTAAGAACATTGAAGAAGGTAAGATCCTTGTAAAACTAAAGAAAAAGATTAGAGCTTTATCATTTTCAACCTTAAGGGCCAAAGCCTCACTGAAAGAAAGGTTCTTTAAGACAGAGAAAAAGAAGGTGTTTTGTGTGTGAGTTTTTGGGGGTATGGGGTGTGGGGGTAGGGGGGTTAGAGGGGGGTAGGGGAGCTTCTAAATGTATAGACCTATATTCTGTAGAGAGAGATCCCAGATAAGAAATCTATCACACAAACAAACCAACAGTGACATGAAATTTGTCAACATCTCTTCTCTTTTCTTTTTGCTTTTCTTACCTTTTTTCCCATGCTTTGTGTTCGATATCTATATTGAAGTCAGATAATTTTACATTAGGAAAAAATAATATCTAACAAAGATAATTTTGTATACAAAACTCAAATTAAAAATTACGACGGTCCACAAATCCTTTTGTTACTTTTGTCTCTCTCTAATTTAATAAGTTGTGGCTTCTTTTTGGAAAGAGTGAATCTCATAAAATAACAACTATCATTATTTTACGAGTTTTTATTTCTAAATTATTATGTGATTTATTTATTTTTGGACTATAACCTTTTTTTTTTACAAAATTTACCTAGTTGAATATAGGAAAAAATATTTATGATAACTTGTTGAGAGAAATGAGAAAAATGAATGTTTTTTTTTTAAAAAAAAATGAGTCCAATATGCATTATGGTTGATTTGGGATTTTTTTGTCAATGCTCAATAGCTTATGGATTTTTTTAAAAAGGGGGAAGTTAATTTATTCACGTAATTTTTTCATGTGTATTAACGTGTTATAACTTGAAACTCTTTAAAAGAATATTAAATGTGATGTTTATATATCATGATATTTTTTTAAAAATATTTTAATATGAATTTATAAATAGCTTGAGAAAATTTTGTAAACAATTAATAATCTAGATATGATACTCGTGTAATGATAATAAATTAGATTTGTTTTATATATTCACTTTTAACCACCAAAAATAGTGGTTGGTGCCTTTGGTGATAAGGACATTTTCTTCCTTAATAAATGAATACACTTTTCATAGAACATTTTACTTTAAAATTGAAATAATTTAGTACAATTTTTTATTAGTCTGAGTCCAACAACAAATATACAATATTGGTATGTATAAATTACTTGAATACGATAATTTTTAATGAGAGTTTGATTATAAGAATTTTTTTCCTTCTAAAAAAATCTTTGAACTTGAAATTGTATTTGGCTTCTTGCGAAAAATATTAAGAATTGAAATATGTATTCTATCTAAATTTTATTTATATTTTTCAATTTTTAAAACCTAGCAAAATCATTCAACTTTGATTAAATTATCTAAAATTTACAATTAAATTATAAATCTTATTATATTGAGCTACTGTACATTATTTTCTTTTAAGACATGAAAAGTAGTACAATTCTACTGCTAAAGTTGTAGGAGAAATTGACAATAAACCCATCGAGACTGTGGGGTTGAATGACGCTCCTTGTGTTTCGTCCGTCTATTTTTACTCGTTCATTATAATCTTCATATATTTTAAAAAAAAATAAAAAAATAACTAATATAAATATTTTAATGTAATATTATATTAATTACTAATATATAATATTAGATTTTAAGAAAAAAAATTAATAATATTAAAGATAAAATAAGAAAAACAATAATATTTTTCTCAATATATTAAAAATTAACAAATAAATAAAAAAAAATTGAAAGATGAGTAAAAGTGAATAAAACGGAAGTTACATTTTTTGTTTTCCTTTTTTTTTTCGTTTTGTGTTATGCATTCACATTAGAATTCGATTAAATTCAGATTCATCGAAGTTGAATTAACGCTCGAAAATTCCACATTAAGGGTGCAGTGTGCTCCTTAACAAAGAAAACTTCATATCTAAGCAGATTCAAACCTGAAATCTTTTAATTTAGAATGAAAGAGTAACTATCATTTCACCGCAACTTTTGTCGATGATTTTGTATTTTTTTTAGGTAGGGCTAATAAAGTATTTTGCTAAAAAGCCCTTCAAGTTTTGGGAAGGTAAGATTTGATGCTTTATGAATTCTGATTTGTGTCTGATTGGTTGATACTCTGACATTGAAAGTATATATAGTATAGTAAGTTTAATTATATTGTGGGGTACTGTCATGAAAGCAATGTATAATAAGAAAATGTCATGTACCAACGTGGTACTGGTAGAAACACAAACACTAATATGCTATCGGAGCTCTAATACGAACTTCAGACATTAAATAAAAAATTAAACGAGAAATCATACAAATCTATATATTATAAGATTGAACAAGTTTGATAGCAAGATAGAAATAAAGAATGCATATACATATTCTTTTACAAAATATATTTATGTGATTGCACTAGTATATATTTTTGTTGGACGATTATTTTAATTTTAATTTGATATGAATTTTAAGAAAAGTCTTTTTTCATGCTTACTTTCCTAAATATGTACTTATCATTTAAAAAATATCGACTCCAAAAGTTTTTTTCTCTATGGTAAACTTTGAACATAACACAAAAATTAAAAAAACTTTCGGAACGTATTTACTTTTTTTCTTTTTACTTTCACAATTATATCTCTTTTATTTCTGATTAACGCCATGAAAAAATATCGAGAATGAATAGGAAGAGATCAATATTTTTGAATTGTTGGGCTAATAGATGAAAAGTAAGTTTTAATTTATATAAAAATTGGGTCAAACTTAGGTAAAAATAAAATATAAGTCGGTCTTAATAATTTTGTTACATCAATTGATACCAATTGATAATTATCTCACAAAAATAATGATACTAATTATTAAGAGATATTATTTATTGAAGTTTTAAATTTGATAGATAATTATATAAACAACACATTTAATTTATCAATTATTTTATTGTTATAATAATACAATATTTTGAAAAATTATATCATTTTTCACCATTATAAATTTTAATTGGTCGATTGGATTTAAATACAAGCTCTGGCTTAACTTTAAATGACAACAAGTACGATTAGTTAGTTTGAATTATAAATTTTCTAATTATTAGAACTAGATGCAAGTAGTGTGAGCTAAAGTGGTTGACATTTATGTAAACAAAACAAAACATAAAAGTACTTAATATGTTATACTATTTTTTTTCATAATTTAATTCCGTTATTATTCTTTTTTTTTAATCACTAATTAAACTTTGAAAAAAATATTCAAAATTATTTATGAATTATATGAAATGATTACCCCATGTTTTAATATAATAATTGGGATCTAGACTACCACAGTGTAGTACTCAACTCTAAAACCAAATTCATATACAAATAATTTGTCCAAACATCAAAAAATAATTATCTCAAGTATTTTAGTATATGAATTACGATATATTATCCTTTGATAACACATGAAATCTTAAATTATATTTAACTCAAAGAATACTCATATAATCCTGATAGATTATAATCTATTTTTACAACATGATTCCTAGCACTCATATCAAATAAATCGAATACTTCTTTGTCGTGTAAAATTATGATTGGATTATAACACTCAATATATATGATTTTTTTTCAAACAATAAATTTTAAATATTTGAATTGTCTTTTTTTAACAATGAACTTTTTTCTATATTTTCAGATATACCACTTTACGAATATAAACAAGATATCGAAATATTGATCGATATATCCCAAATCAAAACATAGTGTATGGAGATTGATACACAACTATGGAATATATTCGAATTTCACAAAATTTATTTATTTTTAATAATTTGAGAAAGAATAAAAGATTTGTATAAAAATTTTCAGTATTCATGAAAAAGAAAGTTTAAACGCAGAAGGAGAAGTTAAGAAAACCCTAAAAATATAAAAGGGGGCTTTAGGCGGAGGCGGAGGTGTTGAGAAGCTTCAATTGTTAGTGAAAATGTCTGACGAAGAGCACCAATTTGAATCAAAAGCAGATGCCGGAGCTTCCAAAACTTACCCTCAACAAGCTGGTACTATTCGGAAGAACGGTTACATTGTAATCAAAGCTCGTCCTTGCAAGGTTTTATTTTTGCATCTAATTCTACATTTTTTGTTAGTAATTTTGGTTTTTTGTACAGTAGAGGCGGATTCAGGATTTGAAGCGAAGTTCAAATTAATATATGATGATAACTGAGGTTCAGTATTTAGTAAGTTTATTGTTAAGTTCATGGATCTGGTATTGGATTTTGTGTAGTTTATCTGCAAACTGTGAAGTAGTTAATTATCAGTGGAAAGCTGGATCGTACACTTTAGCCATAATAAAAAAAAACTTTGTTTTTGAAGTTATTGTGGCGGCAATGACTAAATCCAGCTACTTGCAATATGTGTTAAAACTAGATAACTTTTTGTTATTGTAAAATAGTAAAATGTCTAAATTTTATTGAAAAACGTATTAACATTTCGAAAGTATTGAAGTGTTTTATAGTGTTAAAAATGACAAACTATTGTACTTTATAATATTGATTAACAGACTATTGTACTTGATATGAGACGAGATTACGCGAAGAGGGATATATTAAATCAAAAGAAAAAGGGAAAAGGAGTGTATACCCCTCAACTTTGCGAAGAGGGATATATTGAATCAAAAGAAAAAGGGAAAAGGAGGATATACCCCTCAACTTTGCGATTTGGTGTTGATAACCCCTCACGGCTCGCAGCTCACAGCTCACGTATACCCCTCTACCTTACACAAATGGCCCAATGGCCTAAATATACTCTTTTTCGGATGATGGAAGTGAAATTCTCTCACGTGAATATATTTTGCCTTCAACTAGTTTGGTTGGATTCAAAAAGTTCTTAGTTGTTTACCTTTGTGGTTGGATTCAAAAGATTTTCAGCTCTTCATTGATCGTCTAGCTTTCAATGCAGATTTTAGTTCGGCCTTTCTTCCTCATTTTTTCCTTCAGTACTTCCAGTTTTTGCTAATTTAGACATTTCTGTTTACAGGTTGTGGAAGTCTCCACTTCCAAGACTGGCAAGCATGGACACGCCAAATGTCACTTTGTAGCAATTGACATTTTCACTGGCAAGAAACTTGAGGATATTGTTCCCTCTTCACACAATTGTGATGTATGTGCTCCTCAAGGTCTTCTCGTCCATTTCACAATGTTCTTTTTCTTGCATTATCGGTCTCATATATGATGATTCTGTCCGTTGCAGGTCCCCCATGTTAATCGTACAGATTACCAGCTTATTGACATCTCTGAGGATGGATTTGTATATCTCTATTCCTAGTCAGGTTTTTCTTTGTTATTTTTAATGGAAGTGTCTGATCTGTGTATTATTGTTTATATTAATGATATATAGGTGAGTCTCCTCACTGACAATGGTAATACTAAGGATGACCTGAGGCTCCCAACAGATGAGAATCTTCTCTCACTGGTCAGTAAGCAGATCTAGCTCATCCACCTTTTCACCACTTTTTTCAAGTTATAATTTGAAAGTCTAAAGTAAATATTTCGAGTCTGGTGTAAATATTTTCAGTCATTGCAGTTTTGCATCAAACTCCCTTAGAAGCTTAAGTGGGTTCACGAGAAGATCGTAATTCATTTTGATTCCCTTTTAGTAATATCTTTTTGGTTTCCCATCCGGTGTTCGGTACTTGCATTGATGTCCAACTGAATCCGGGTTTGTGCTTGGAAAGTCCCACGTTTGTGTGTGTGTGTGTAAAGTGCTTCCTAACAAAGATGATTTCGTACCCCCCACTCGAACACGAGACTTCTGGTTAAGGTTGAAGGAGTACTTACCACTTCACCACAACCCGTGTTGGTTTGGTAAAAGTTGCCTTGCCTTCTGCATTCATGTTTTCGTTTTTGAACTGCTTTGTAATGTTTTTACTTGAACCGAGGTTTTATTGGAACCAACTTCTCTACCTATTGTCGTTGTCCCACTTAGTAGAAGGGGCACTTTCTTGGTGCATATAGTGAGAGTTTTTTGGAGTTCTGTTTTTAGAAAATCCTGCCGGTTTGTTGACTAGTTCTAATTTGCTAAATGTGCAGATCAAGGATGGATTCGCGGAGGGCAAAGACCTTGTTGTGTCTGTCATGTCTGCCATGGGAGAGGAACAGATTAATGCACTGAAGGATATTGGTCCTAAGTAAACGGAGAGAAGGGACATGACGGTACCAGCTTGTTCAAGAACATCTACTTCTACTTCGTGTTCTTGAGTTAGATTGTTGTTCTAATATTTGTTGGAATTTATCTGATTACTTTGAACGTTTTCAAATCTCCTTGTTCGATGAGTTTAGTGGGTCATTTGCTAGAGTATATTAGAAGTAATAATTCATTAACTTTCTGTATTAATAGTATTCTGTTTGATACATCTTTGCTGTAGTTATACGCTCTAAAATAAAAATTGTGCAGTGTGCTATTTTTCATACATCAAATGAAATAATTTTTCCATAATTATCGCAAAGCATAACTAGACGTTACAAAAGAAATATGATGGTTTCCATCAGGCAACACATGAGATGCATTAATAGAAGTGTCAATTCGATCAATATGACATTACAACACAATTAATCAAGTCAAAATTTCGCTTCCTTAAATCAAAACAACTACTATTAATCAACAAATTAATAGTACAGTTCAGAAAATCTGAGAAATGAACAGGAAAAAGGATGAATAGAGAGACCACAAGGGAGGGGACTGCACGTCATAAAACGAAAACTTGCTGTTAGTGGAATGTGTCTTTTTCAAATGATTTAAACCCTCGTATTCAGCACGAGCAACCTATGATCTAGCTCAGCTCATGTAACGGATGGCTGTTCCGAGCCAGTCATCAGGTATGCCACCCTTCAAGAATCCACTAAGGGCTTTCACTGAATGGTCTGTTCCTGCCTGCATCAATTCAAACAAATAATGAACTAGTTGGGATGAGTTATATTTGTTTCTCATCCTAAGCTCCCATGAAAACATATTACCTTAGTTATGTAGACATCAATCCCAAGCTTGGCAATCATGGCGGCTTCTGTTATTTTTGTTACCATCCCACCAGTTGTGTCATGTGCAGCTACTGTGAATTCAACTGTGGACAAAAGATTCAGGAATATCAAGTAAATGAATTGTCTCTCCGATAGTTCAATGCAGGTTAAGTTGTAATATACTTACCGGGCTTGCTTGTATCTTCTAATATAGGTTTCACTACTGACCAGCTTCCATCTTCACGTACAGCTGCAACAAGTAAGCATCATCTAAATATGATGCATCTAGCTTATCATAGGTTCTTTATGGAAAAAATAACATATTCGAAACAATAAAACCAACTCTAGGGCTAAAATTGAGCATTTACCTATTTCCCGGATAAGTACAGCGCCAGGTTCTACTGGTGGACGATCATATACACCAAGAACATCCGTCTTCGCTCAAGATGTATAGGATAACATTTGTAGAACAAAATCTCATGTTGTTCAAAGATGATATGATCAGTAACAGTTTATGTGTCAGGGCCAAGTTAGGGGGTTCTGTATTCATTTTATGCACGACTTGAAAGCACCTAGATGCAAATATGTTGCACTGAGATGGGCCTAGAAATAGAATCTGAACTGTAGTGTATTTTTTCCAATATGCAAATACATTGCAGGTTTTAAGGCAATGTTTCTGAAAACAATGTAAACGGACCTTCACATACTACACTGGAATGATGTCTTCACAGAGATATTTTGGAGTATGTAATTTGAAATTGTATTTACTGAAGATATTCTTGTTTGCAAATTTCGAGCATGAACAGTATCAAAATGCATGCTCTACCTATCGATGTGTTGGATACAAGAAAAACAACAAACTCTGGCTTTAGTTCAGCTGCTAAATGACGTATTATCACGTCTCCACTCAGAATAGTGCACTCCTGAACAAGTGAAAGGATTAATTACATGAACAGTGATCACCATGTTAATGTTCAATTATACTTGAAAAACACACCTGTAATGTATCCAGAACTGCATCTCCATGCAGGACCTGGAATGCAAACGAACTTGTGTTACAACATTCTCTATGTCACAAAACTATAAAATCCAAGCAATTGCAATAACAAATTGACCGAATTAGAAAGCGATATTTTATTTCAAGGACTTGATATATGAAAATATAGTGAAGAAAAGCTTTATGAAAGAACAATTTACCAGAAGTGTTTCGTTGCAATGAAGAAAAAGATTCAGAAGTGTTCGATCAAGGAAGAGTGGAAAACTAAGCTAAAGCTACATTAGCAGAAGATCATCTTTTCTTATTTGCAAACAAAGCTTAATTATTTCATACAGATTAACATTGTTTATAATGAACATGACATTAATTCAAGTGAAAAAATCTCAGATTGCATAGATAAACTTAACTAGCAGTTCCTTTCATATAATAATCCCTAGTTTGCAATTGTACGAATTAAGACCCTATGTTGCTCGGACTCTTCAAAAATATCGCGCAATGCTCCAAAAGTAGTGCAGTTTGGAAGATCTGACAGGAGTATGGCAACATTTTTGGGCAGTCCAAGGAACATAGCTAAGACCTACTCAGGTTATGCCTTGCTTACAAAAGTATCTGATTGTTAAGTGTGGTCTTTGGTTTAAAGCCAAGTTAAACTTACACACATATAGTTATTAACATGTTTACCAACAACACTCTCCCAAAGTATCTTTGAAAATAATAAACTAGAAAGTGCTTTGAGTAGCAGAACTTTTTCCTGTTCGCCAAGTTCTTCTATTGGATTTTTGACCCTTTGGTGTCTATGTCAAAAAGCATATAATCATGGGAATTTGCACTACTATAATATTCCTCTAAATATTTGAACATTAAGCTTATAAATACACATCCTATAGTGCTAACAGTTAGCACCTCCTTGACATGAAAAGCCTAAACATCATGACAAACCTACCTACATAATGCACATTATTGATTATATTCTTGCCTCAGAAAATGGAGGAAGATATCAGGGGAAAGGTAAGAATATGGTCTGAAAGAGAGTGTCAATGAAAAACTAAACTGATATATAATTGTGTTGCCACAGAGATATTTATATGTGTGAAAAAGTACGAGAGTTTTGGGCTAAGATCCGAAGAGTTCAAACTTACAGGTATAAAACCAGCATCAATAGCTTTAATGACCATGGAAATGTCAGCCTCCGTCATCTGCAGAAGCACAAGTTGCCAAATTTCAAGCAAGGAACAATTTTGTTTTCTCTCGAAAGAGCTTAAAATATAGAAATATATCCATTTAATGAAAATGATCTTCATTTCGGCTTCTAACATTTCTTTGACATGTTGACCAACCACATGAGAATGGAGACATTCCGATGGAAGGAATACCCTCTGCAACAACAAAAACCATTTCTTAGGAATCCACTGATAAGAGAGAGACATAGATTTGTACGCAAGTACGCCCCTTAAGGTGAAAATATGCGTCTATAATGAATCATTAACAAGCCTTGTACGTGAAGAGCTGTCAATTGTTTGCAGAATGACTGGATGGACAGCCATCAAGTACTATGGATATCAACAATTTGTGTTGATTAATGAGGATGTTAGCTTCTTAAAGAGTGACGTGGGAACTTAAAAGAGGATACCAAAACGATTTAGGCCCTCGTAACATCTTCCGCAGAGCAATATAGCCCCTCCAATCTGATATAATAATTGTCTATGGCCTTCACAATGTCTATTCAAATCCTATTTCTTGTCATGCAATAAAGCAGTTGGGCTATTAGAGAGATGCTCAGGACTTAAAATCCAAATCCATATCAATTCCCAACCCTGCCCACAGTGAGACCCAATGGAACGAAGATGTGAAAATGTTGTGTATTATGGTACCAGGTATATTTAATCATAATAAGATATATTTATAGACAGCCTTAAAAGGCTCGTTGCATGGAAATGAAATTGTTATAAGTACCTCTTGCTAGGGCTCTCACGATTTCAAGATTGAGGGATGTGACCTGCAATAAAGAAAAATGTAAATTCCGTCACATAGCACCTGAGAGTCGAAGGAAACATAGAGGGGGATCATCGCATAGACGAAGAAGTCTAGCAAATAATTAGGTCATAACACTTAATTTTGTGCAGTAAACACCAAACCCGTCATTCCCTGAACAGTCTAATACACATCTCTCAGGAGCATGGAATTTTAGCCTGCATAATATCCTGGAGATGTGTCCAAAACAAGAGGAGAACAAAGATGCATGCATGAATTATTTCATGTAATATTTGAGCCCGAAATGATAAGGCCATGAAACGTAGGAATGAAAAAGAAACGGGTGGAGGTAACTATTTAACTGGTTTCAGCAACAGCACTGCTAGTCCTAAGTTACAAGTGGAAAACGGAAAGGTGAGGTCTGGCGCTTACTGAAATTCTTGTGGCAACAAAACCTGCCTTGACAAGAGGCCGGCTTAGTCCACCCTTATGAACCCCTGACTTGCTAGCTTGAAAGTGTCCAAAGGAACCTGAAGTCAATGATGACAAATGTTTTACTCAAAACTAAAATCCAAATTGTCCTTCTATAGCACCAAAATTGGGTCGACTTATGTTTATTCATTTCATAATTCAAAGAAATTTGCTGTGGCTACTGAACCTAACAAATCCTGCTACTGACTAAACACACTCAAATAGTATCAACCTGCTCCATGAACAACAATAAAACTTTCTGAATCCACAACTGGTTGATCACTGAAATCATTAACGAAACTTGGAGCTTCAGACTGTCCCAGCCTTTTACTCCAATCCATTCCAAGAACATTTGCAGAAGTAGAGTCCGGAACAAATGCTTGACGAATCTGGGACGAAACTTCCTTAAGATTCTCCTCATCTATAGTCTCCAATTTATTTTTACACGTGATGGCTGCACCTCCTGAACTAAAAAGTAAACAAATAATGCATCCAAAATCTCCAAAGTAAAATAAAAAAGAAGAAGAGACATGCACTTTATACAGTGTTAAGAGTAACCTAAAATAGTTAAATACAAACTCAAAAGAAAGCATTAACCAACATTGTTTTTATTTCTAGTTTCTCCTATAGGTAAAGTCAATCAATTAATCAACTAACATGTTATGCTACTATATTTTGTTTTTGTTTAAGTATTTTCTATTGTCCCTTGTACTTCCATTACGTCTTTTTCTAAACTGATTATGTCTTTGAGCCGATGGTCTATTAGAAACAACCTCTCTACCTCAATGAGGTAGAAGTAAGGTCTGCACATACTCTACCCCTCTCGATATATTGTTGTTGTAGGTAAAATCAATCAATTAGCATTTCCGCTACAATCTATTGTTTTTGTTATTTTCTAGTATCATTTGTACTTCCATTAGCCAAGGTTCTATCAGAAACCGTCTATCTTATCTCAGTTAAAGTAAGGTCTGCGCATACTCTACCCTCCTCAGACCCCGCTAAGACTACACTAGACATGTTGTTATTGTATGTAAAATCAATCAATCAATCAACTACGCATCGATCCTAAACTAGTTGAGCTCATCTACACATATCCTCTGTTCAAGTCAATGGATTCATCTAGTTTGACTATAACCCTGTTCAATTCACAAAATTAGTGCCAATTGAATCGTAGCACAACATTTTCTATTCATAAAGTACCAAACAGATGCTCAATTTGAGGATTATTTGAGTCAATCAAATACACAGATATCAAATCAAATCAAATCAAATGTAGACAAATAAAGTGGAAAAGGATAGTTCACCGAGTTTAACGATACAACGGAGACGCTTAGTTGTTTTCTTGTGCTCCATTTTTGGTGAATGCTCTGCTGCTTTGGTCAATTCACTCTAAAAGTTGGATGAAAATAGAAGCATAAAAGAAATGACATAATAGAATCTTAATTTAAGAGTTAGATTTGTAATAGCACTACACTATGTTAAATTATATTCTTTGGTCTCAATTTATTTAATCATTAATTTTTCACATATATTTAAACTTATTTATAAATATACAAAATTCATTTTAAATTGTTTGACTCTATAAAAACAAAAAGTGTGAGTGTTTAATAAAGTCTTTTGTGGTTTAAATTTGGTTGGTTGAAAACTATATTTTAGCCTTCTTTAATTCGATTTTCTTTATTGAGAGTTTGTTTTTAATAAGAATAATATCTTTAGTGGCTAAACTTTTTTAAAAAAGTTATTTTTTTTTGCAGAACCATTTTTAAAAGAACTTTTTGTCAATATTAGGATTTTTTTTAAAAACACACACACTAATTTTAGCTTCTGAAATATGTTACTACTCAAAAATACTAACTTTTCTTCCCATAAGAGTGTACTTCTGCTTATTTGGACAAACATATCATAACATGAATTCATATTGAAGCTCGATTAATCTGAATCTATATTGTGTTATATTTCATTATGAGGAAAACACTCTTTATGAAAATATTTTCATATGCAAAACTCGAATTGGAGATTTCACAAAAATCTGTTAAACCATATAAATTTTAATAAAACATTTAAAGGTATATTTCTTAATTGTAGTAATATAAAAGAAGTAGTAATATTTCGCATATTTTTTTTAAACATTATATTTTAAATATCAAAATCTTAAAATTAATTAAATTAATTCCCGAAAAGTAAAGTATGACATTTATTTGAGGCGAAGAAAGTAGTATTTATTAACATCTTGATTTAATTGGCTGTATAATGGATAAAAGAGTCAATTTGAATTTATGTGGAGTTGTCCTACCGAAAATTTATCTTCAAATATTTGTTTATCTTTGAAATTTGGCCTGATTTTCAAGATCCTGTTATTCAAATATTTTCAAGTTCTCAAAAATTGGTCTATCAGTTTCTGAGACTTTTACTTACAAAACTTCAAATATTTTTCGAGTAAAATGAATGTCTAAACACGATTTCAAAAACTCAAATTGTCCATTCAGAGGGAAGCGCTCCTTACCAAGATCGTTTGATATTCCAAATCCCAAGAAAAAAATCACCAGATACAAGTGTTTTCACTTTCTTAGAGATGTCAAAACATACTCTTGAGTATGAAAAGTTTGTACAATAGCAATCAGGTAGTTGACAGTATAATACAAGGATGAAGTAGAACTGGATTTCTTCATGATTTTGCTATCCAGTTCTGGAAAATATACCATCTCTGTGACTAACCGAGACTCGAAAGCATACAGTAGGAGGGTTTCCTTCTACGAGAGATGACAATCGATAGTTCTAAGAAACTCACCTCGACATGATGCCAAAGAACTATTTGCAAATGAAGATGATTGCTCTCTGATACCAAAATCCACAGACAGCTGAAGTGGAAACTCAAGACATTCAAAAATGCAACTCAAGATGAGTACAACACTCGAGATCACTCTACGTTCCAATCAACAAACAGATAGGAAAATCGTAAAATGCAACAACACTAAGAGCATGATGAACATAGTTTCTCAACTTGCATTTGTGATGCACCTCAGAGAACAAGACTCCTTACCGTACTTTCACCCTACTGTTCTGTAGACAAATTCAAAATCGCAAGTATGCCAATATCTCAGAGAAGCAACTAACTTATAGAAGTGCCAATACCAATCCCCAGCTTAAGTTAGCTCATTTACCAATTAGCAAGTGAAAAATGATATCTAGTATCTGAACGGAACCAGCTAACCAAACGAAAAATGCAGTGCAAGGGGAGAACTTTCTTACAAGGAGAGAACTTTCAATGTTCAAACATAACAAATACATCATAGATCTTCCAGCATGGAAGAAACATGCTATGCTTTTTCGAGGTAATAAAGATACCAACCCAATTATAAGAGTACGTATGGAGCATTAACTGAAAGCGAGCCATTTGGATATAGTAATCAAACTAACATTTAATTGAGGAAATGATACAAGTAGTTTTTACAGTACCTACACAATATGTAGAAGCTAGAAAAGAGATCCAATTGCAACCTGCTTCAACAAACTTATTACATATTGTAAAGCATCTTCACATGATTTCTTAACTACTATGGAACTCGATACATGATTAAAACCATAATTTCTACAAAATACAAAGTAAAGACTGCGTCTTGAACCCACTGACCTTAAGACTGTTTCAACTTTGAACAACACATACAACATGAGGAACCTTCTCATTGTCAAAAGGCAAGTAGACATACTCGCGAGCAAACTCCTCTGCGATATCCAATGCTAGCTCCCCGTGCAACGCCTTGCAATACATATACAACACGACACTCGCTGCAATGTTCTGAAGCATCAGGAGAGTAGCGAAGCCCGAACTCACCACCATCTGCAATATCACCCCAAAGCTTGTCCACCCACCACTAGCAGCTCCTACACTCACCAGAAAACTTGAACAACCACCCACTAACAATCCAATCAGAACCCCGAAAAATAGCAACACTGACAACGCCACCCATCTCATCCCCTTCACCAAATAAGCACTTCTTCGCAATGCTTGGTAACCCCATTTCGATTCCACAACTACAATCACATAAGCTAATGACCAATTAACCTGCAACCACATAACAACCAATACAACAAGTACACCTACAAAAACACCCAAACCCATTAAGTAATTCGAATCGTAACCCACTTCAAACCCAAGAAACTGCACACCCTGCACCACAATCACCGCCAATAGCCCAAACAGTAAAACAATCAAAGCATAAATGACACGCGAAACGATAAGGGTGGCAATTAGAGGCAAGAAAGAGTACAAAACCGACTTCATAGACGAAACAAGCTTGACGGGTCTTCCATAAAATCCATGGAAAGTACTGTAGCTGATTGTAGCCAACGCCAAAAGAGACAGAACAGAAGCTAAAAGGGTGTACACAAGGAGAAGAAGAAGGGACTGGGAATCCGGTTGGGTCAGATTCCGAATCGGGTCATATGGGTCAGTGGAGGTGAAGAAGGAGAAGGAAAGGTGAGATGGGTGTCGGTTAAAAAGGTTGGAATCGGAGTGAAAGAGAGCGGTTTGAAGAGTAGGATAGATGATGAGAGAAAAAGAGAGAGGCAAAAGGAAGGAAACTGAAAGGGCTAAGAAATGGCGTGAGTGAGCATTGATTATCCGCTTTGATTGGGAAAGTACTCCCCAGAGATTAAGGGTGTGTGGATAACCAGACATTGAAGATGATGATGAAGAAACCAAAGAGATGATGAGAAAAACTAGTCTCTGTTTTTGTGATTTGGGGCTTTTTTCCCTTTTCTTGAATTTTTCAGGATTGATGTGAAGGAGGAGACAAGTGGCAATAAGGTTCAATATTTTACTCAATTCACTAGAAAATTGGTCTTTCCATTAGCCTTTGGTCAATTCGATTCGATTTATATATTTCGATATAATTATTTAATTTTTTACTAACCTCTAATTAAACTAACACAAATTTGATATGATTAATAAAATACTGATTAACACATTTTCAAATTTCAATCACTAACTTACAATTTTTGTCTTTAGATTTGGGTCACTCCAATTCCCCTCAATTGGGCCATATTGATATTGGGCTTGGCCTAGACTAGCCATTAGTGTCGTTAAATTCGATTTTTCGATTAAATCGAATTTAATTTGTTCAAAATCAAAAATCTAAATTAAAAAAGTTTGTTTTGATCAATTTTTTTCGATTTAAACCAGAGTGTGTGCAGCCGTACATATGATTCAAGCAAAGACAAGAAAATTGAATCATGGGATGTTTTTTAAGTCTTAACCTAACTTTTGGATTGAGTTACAATCGGGTGTCATGTGAAAAATATATCTTTCACCTAGTTCCGTGAGACTTGTCTAGTGTATTTCTACCATTCCGTTTGCACACAGGATAAACTCCAATCCATCTTCGCATTTAACGACCAGTTTACTATGGCAAGGCTCTTCAAGCAACTATTAAAAAGGGATAAAGTTTACGTACATTCTAAACATAATTATTTCGAATAGGTTGACATATGCTCATGTATATTAATGCAAAATCCATGTCATTCTAGCCAAATTTAAACCTTGTTTGAATAGTTTGTCATTCACCTAGTTCTAAAAGAGAAGAAAAGTAAGTCATTTAGACTATACATGAAAAGGTTGACTATTTGCTTTACTTAAGTGCTAAGATATTATTTTGCTAACATCTTTTTCAATAATAGAAGTATTTTTCTTACTTTATAAAATAGATTGTATACATGCATTTAAATATATGTTGAAATACTTTTGAGAGAATTATCAAAGTTTGGGTGGGTGGGTGAGAGTAATTATGGAGTTGTTCAATTATCAGATAGACAAAGCAAGTTAAGAATTGACAAAACATTTCATTTTCTGAGTAATAGTACAAATTTAACAACTACCTCCTAGTTTTTTTCTCTCTCTTCATATTATGCAATTGTGTTGTCAATTATATATTTCTTATAATCGTGGTGTTTGTGTCTACTTGCACGTAACTCGACTAAGTTTCATGAGGTATTTTCTAGAGTAGTTATTATCTAAGTTGCTCGAACTTTCCAGAAATGTTGTGGCACCTTTATCAGATCCATTAGAAATGCACTACTTTTGACTGGTCTGACACACACCCAATGAAATTTTTGAAGAGTTCGACTATTTTTATCATTTTCAAAACAATTAAGATGTGACAGCCCCATGTTAGGTAAGGTGGGTGAGAGTAATAATGGAACATTATTGTATTTTATTTCACATCATTGTTTATCATCATTTCTATCACATTGTGTGTTTATTAACAACCTTTTAGTTTCAAATTTTCACCTGTGTATGATATTTGAGTTGCAACTAAGAGCCCTGCAATGAACTTTTTCCTCTGTTAAACATCCTTTTTTTTCATTGAATTGAAGAAGAACTTGTGATTTTCATCTGATCCTGCCTTTGCTTCCTTGTAAATTTAGTCAATAGCTATGGAATTCTTATCTATTTTTGTGGAAAAACTAACTGATTGCTTGATCCAGCCAGTTGCGCGGCAGATTGGTTATTTCTACTACTACAAGAGAAACATGAGATGTATGGATAAAGAATGTGAGAAGCTGAAGAATATCAGAATGACAATGCAGCGAAAAGCGGAAGATGCCAGGAGAAACTTACAAGACATTTCACCTAATGGCAAGGTTTGGTTAACTAGTGTTGATACAACTACTGCAGATGTGGAAGGCGTGATGCGAGGTGTAGCTGAGGTTGAAAGGGGTTGCTTCTATGGTGTGTGCCCGAATTTGAAGTCACGTTACTCGATGAGTAGGAGAGCTAAGAAAATTACACTGGAGTTGATTGAACTTCAAAATGAAAGCAATAAGCCTGATGTTTTGTCATTTGATCATCCAGTCGAAAGTGAACCTGAGGCTATGTGTAGTAACAATGTTGAGGAGTTTGAGTCCAGAAAATTGAAGGAGGATGAGGTCATGGCAGCTTTGAGAGATGACGAGGTTGCTATTATTGGGATATGTGGTATGGGTGGAGTTGGTAAGACAACACTGACTGAGAAAATCAGACAAATGGCGAAAAAAGAAAGGTTGTTTAAAGATGTTGTCATGGTAATTGTCAGTCAACAAATAGACTTTAAAAGAATTCAGGATGAGATTGCAGGAGGAGTTGGGCTGACATTAGAAGGGGATGATTTGTGGAGTCGTGGAGATCTGCTGCGTACAAGGTTAATGGATCAGAACAGTCGCATCCTTATAATCTTGGATGATGTTTGGAAGGCTCTTGAACTAGAGAAACTTGGAATTCCTAGTGGTAGCAACCACAAACATCGGTGCAAAGTGACATTCACAACGCGTTTCCGACATGTTTGTGAAGCAATGGGAGCTCAGAAGATCATGGAAGTTGGAACTTTATCTGAAGAGGAAGCATGGATCCTTTTCAGACAGAAAGTCGGTAATTCAGTCGACGATCCTTCTCTACTTGATATAGCAAAAGATGTTGCCAAAGAATGCAAGGGGCTGCCACTTGCAATCATTACAGTTGCAGGAGCACTAAAAAAGCATAAAACCAAGCGTTCGTGGGACTATGCCCTTGAAGAATTACGCGGTGCAGAAACAATAAATATCCCTGAAGTGCACACAGAGGTGTATAAACCTCTGAGGCTAAGCTATGAATACTTGGGAATTAATGAAGCTAAGTACCTCTTTTTGCTTTGTTCCTTGTTTGAGGAAGATAGTAATATCTGTCCTGAAGAATTACTTAGATATGGAATGGGGCTTCACATCTTTCCAGGAATCAAAAATTTGGAACATGCAAGAAATAAGGTGTGTTATCTGTTGGAAATATTGAAAGATTGTTTCTTGTTATCCCAAGGTTCAGAAAAAAATTGTGTCAAGATGCATGATGTGGTCCGTGATGTGGCTATATATATTGCATCTGAGGGAAAGGACATATTTATGGTAAGTCATGATATGAACTCAGAATTGTTCCCAAGAAAAGACTCTTACGAGCAATATAGCCAC